CATGAAGCTCTAAGCTGGTATTAAAAGAATCAGTATCTAGTAAATAAAAAATCCGCCAATAAGAAAAAACTCTTAAGATGCTGTTCTTTCACAGCTCACAAAGGCTGCTACTACCCTCTCCCATTCCTATTTCCAAGTATGATTGATCCACATCTGGATAATCTGATCAACCATAAATGCAAACTGGCTTCCTCTTGCCATCTAGACTACCCATATATGTATGTACACGCATACTTACAGACATATACTAAAGAATATATTTTTATATGTGTATATATAATATACATACAAATAAGAAGTGTTGCTGAGTAATGGGACTATAGACAATAATATTGCTTCTTTTACTTTTTCTGTAATTTCCAATTTCTGCTATGAGCATGTTATTTTAATTAATGGTGGAAGAAATAAAGCTCTTTTAAAATTAAAAAATAAGGATAATAAATAAGAAAAAAGCAAGTCACAGAAAAATACTTAACACTATGATTCTATTTATATAAAGTTATAAAGGTACAAAATATATTGTTTAGGATACATACTTGTTTGGTAAAACTATTTTTAAAAGCAAGGGAATGATTCACACAAAATTCAGGAAAGTGGTTACTTCTGAGGGAGAAGGACAGAGATTCAATCAGGCAGGGAATCACAAGAAGCTTTAAAGGTACTAAAAATCTCCTTTTTGTTAAACTGGGTAGCAAAAACATAGGCCTTCAATTTGTTATCATTCTTTAAATTAAAGATTTATATTATATGCACTTTTATACATATGGTTTATCTCACAATTTAAAAAGAAGATATAAACAGAGTTGAAGAATCAGAATTTCAGGGCTGTAACCCAAACTCTTCCACTCACTGTGTAATCTTAAGCAAGTCATTTTACCTCTCAGCAGTTTTTCTTCTTATTTTATAGATGAGGAAACTAACAACTAATATATGTTTACTACTTTACTGTTTAAAGTTCCTAGACTAGGGACTTCTCTGGTGGCACAGTGGTTAAGACTCTGCATTCCCAACGCAGGGGGCCTGGGTTGATCCCTGGTCAGGGAACTAGATCCCACATGCATGCCGCAACTAAGAGTTCGCATGCCTCAATAAAGGCTCATGGGCTTAGTTGCGAGCTGCAACTAAGACCCGGCGGAACCAAATAATAAATATATATTTTTTTAAGTTCCTAGACTATAGTACCAACATACTAATATGCAGATAAACTGTGAGATAATAATACAAAGTAATACCTCCTTACTAAATAATAGATCATAATACTAAGAACTCAACGGTAGGACACACAAGGCTATTCACATTCTAGTCTCTTCTATCTAATAATAATAACATCTAATATTTTTAATGTGTACAATGTAACACATTGTATTAAATGCTTACCATGGATTCTTTTGTTTAATCCTCAGAACAACCCTATGAGATTAGTTCTCTTATGCCCATTTTACAGATGAGACCACTGTGCCCAAGGTCACATAGGTAGTAGTAAATGGTGGACAAACTTCAGAACCCACACTCTTGACCACTACGTTAGTTTTGCCTCACTTTTCTCACGACATTTAAATCATCTCTCTCTCCCATGACACTGAAAGCTCCTTGACAACTGTTTTTTGTTCACTTTTTTACAATTTTAACTGTCTTTAATTGTACAATTTAGTGGAAGTAAGTATATTCACAATGTTATGCAACCATTACCACTAAGTATGAAAGGTTTTTAATGACTTTACTAAAATCACTAGGTTATCAAGTGGTAGAAAGGGGATTTGAACTCAGGACTCTCAACCTCTAAATTAACAAGCTATTCATTCTACCAAGGTACCTGTCTACCAATACCTCCACTGCTCTCCCCTTCTCACCAGAATACTGGAAGAATCAAATGAGGTGAAGATACTAAAACACTTTATATACATTTCTACTGCACAGGTGAACACAGCTGTGAGGGGGAAAAAGAAAATCCACCAAGACAATTCTCCCAAGCGATTACTTTCCAGTTTGAGCTCTCAAAAGCTAGGGCTTTCATATAAATATCCCACCTCTAAATCAAGCCTGCAGATCCACAAAAGCAACGTCTGGACCCCAGAGTAAAGTTATGAGGAGAAATGCTTGCATTAGTTAGATTACTCTCTCATCAAATTATGGGTAACTGCTCAAACCTGATTTTTATTGCAATACAGAAAGCTTCCTCATAACAAAACACTTTCAATTCCAAGGATAAGTCCAACCTTCAATCATTCTGCCCATTTTGGAGCTACAATAAAAAAAAAAAAAAAAAAAAGATTCTTGGGACTTCCCTGGTGGCGCAGTGGTTGAGAGTCCGCCTGCCGATGCGGGGGACACGGGTTCGTGCCCCGGTCCGGGAAGATCCCACATGCCGCGGAGCGGCTGGGCCCGTGAGCCATGGCTGCTGGGCTTGCGTGTCCGGAGCCTGTGCTCCGTAACGGGAGAGGCCACAACAGTGAGAGGCCCGCGTACCGAAAAAAAAAAAAAAAAAAAAGATTCTTAATATTGGGTATTTTCATGTGTTCAATTGTGAAGGCCAAGGAAAATGGTTTGTTTACAAGCTGAACCCTGAAGCTTGAACAAAAAAAGAATTATTTTGATCCCGTTGGTGCCTTACATCCCTCCCCATTTTTTCCCCAATCTAAGCTCTAATCAACAGCCATTTCAGGTTTAACATATCACAGTTAATGCAATTAAGTCCAGAAAACTATTTTCCTAAAGATGTTTCCTCCATTAACACCCTTCTCTACTTTCCAGCATCACTCTTCTGCCATGAGAATGAGCATATCATTAAGCTTTAAATAAAATTTCTGATGAATAGATGGAAGTATTGTTTTTGTAGTTAATGGAATACGCTTACATCTCCTAAATAAAATAAAATAAAAATGATTCTTTATGTTTTTATCCACATCTGACAGAATTCTAACCACCTGAATTCCTTCAGAAGAAAATTCAATCTACAGAAATATAGTCCAATTATTTTAAATCTTATCAGGTAATGTCAAAAGAGAATCAAATGAAAATACCAAACTATCTCACCAATGAATATTTATGACATTTCCATATTTTCTGTCTTCTCTCTGTTTACATAAAACGGTGGTACCAAGATTCATCTCTGGATTATTAGCCTGCAATACAATGATGGGCCTAATTGCCTTGCAAACCAGGACACCAATAAATGGAGTCTTCAAGCAATCAATTTTAAGAGGAGGGGAAAAAAAAGGCCTAAGCTCTTTCTGAATACATGCACGTTGCCTGACTGGGAAATAAATTCAGCCTTGTATTTTTCAGTCTCATTCATCAGTTCTCAAGCAAGGAATGCTCCCTTAACCACCTCAAGCTCATCAAATCTATTTAATACCAAATTCCAGGACTAATTTTTAAATGCACCTGGAGGAGAGAGGAAAGGAGAAGGCAGAGACGTCAAATAGAAAGACATCTATCACATTCCAGTTTCATCTTCTTCATCTTTAGTTACTGGAGTGGGGTTTTCTCCCCCAACTTTCTTTTTATAATACATGAATAATAGAAGATACTTTTCCCTCCTCAAAAAAATAAAAGAAGATACTTTCCCCTCCTCAATTCTACCTTAACTGAAGCCCCTCTCAACTTTACCCTTTGTGTTGGTTTACTTCCAAATATGATACTAATACAAGTGAAACAAACAAAAACTAACAGCTTAAGAAGTCCTCTAGAAAAGTCTTTTATGTACCTTCTCTCTCCCCAACCACAGCCTCCAAAGCTGTCCATTTAAGTCCAACCCCCAACCCTCTTGTGTCTCTTGGAGGCCATCTCAATCCTTCTCCAGAATCATCCAATCCACCTCTTCCCAGCACTGCTCACTGCCCCTCTCCATCCTCCCTGCCCCCTCCATACCAACAACCCCAGGTTTCCCACTCCTTAATTAGCCACATCTGCTACCTCACTATTAGCAACCACCTCTCCAGTCCTACCAGTTCATCTCAGACACTCTTGCTCCAAAACTCCCTCTGCCACCTTGGCCAAGGGACATTTTCTTCAAGATACCATCCCCCAACCTTGCTCACCACCTGCCACTATTCTTTAAGTCCAGCCCAGAAGCATCTTCTGTGCCCTCTGCCTTCACCCTGTACCCAGGAAGCCACCAGTGCTTCTAAGATCACTCTAAATCCCATCCCACTGTGCTCCCCCCCTTCCCCTCCCCACCCAATTCCAATCCTTGTTCGCCCATTTTGGGCCTAACTTCTACTTTACCCCCTCCTGCCAGCTCACCCTCACACTCCCCTCATTCAAAGTCCCACCCCCCACCAGCTCCTATTCCAACCTCCATAAGCACTCCCCAGGAAAACCCCGAATTCTACCTCCTCTGCTCTCCTAACCCACGCTATTCCATAAAATCTCAACAAATTCCACCACCCCCAGATGGCAAGCGCCCACTTCAAGCTCAGGTCTCAGCCCATGCCAAGACCCTCCTCACCCCCGGCTCCTACCACCTCTATCAGCCTGCCCTAGGTCCACCCCAAATTCAACCCTCCTGAATTAGTCACCCCCCAGGGTCCTATCCAACTCTGCAGTCGCACTCTCTATTACAATCAACCCCTTACCCCGCAACCCGGCCCAGATCCCAAGCTGTCAATTGCTCCAGGCCAACCCCAAATCCACCACCCTCAGTCAGTCCCCTCCCCCATTAAAAGCCATCCCACTCCAGTCTCAACATCCATTTCGCCCAAAACCATCCAAATTCCACCCCAACCCTACAACCCCACGCTCCTGTCCCAGATCGTTCCCATTAAAAGTCCCCTTCCCTTGTCTCTCCCCCCCCAACCTGCTTGTGTCCCACCCTCACCCCACCCCCAGCCCGCGCCTGGACAAGTCTCCCCAGCCAGCCCGCCGTTCCATCGCGACCTCAACCCCCTTCCCCCAACCCGCGAAGGGGCTCCGCAGTCCCCACTCTCATTCTCCCCAGTACCACCGGCCCAGGCTCAGGGAGAGCGGACCGGGGTAGGGTGGGGGGGTGATCTCCTCACCGGCGAGCTGCAGCAGGCGAAAACGGCGGCGGCGGCAGCTGAAGCGGCGATGCCCTTGTCTTCTCTGAAGGCTACAGAGGCGACGCTCTCGCTCCCTCGCCCGTGTCCAGTAAGGTGGCGGATGGCGCGCAGGGACTGGGAGCCTCCTCCTTCTCAGCGACTCGGCTCTGAATCCTCTGCAGTAGCCGCCGAGGAGCCCGACGGGTGGGGGGAGGGGACGCTGGGCTGCGGGCTAGGGAGGAGGAGGCTGAGGGAAGGGGCGGGGGACCGCTGAGAAGGGCTGGGAAGGAGGAGCCAGCGCAGCGCCGCGACACGTCCCACAGCCTCAGCCCGCCGGGACCACAACTCCCGGCATGCCCCACTCCGGTCCGCGCGCAGCCGGCGCCCCCCGGCGCGCGCCCGATGCGGAGGGACTATTCCCTCCTAGGTCTCGGACACTGGAATAAAGCCAACCATCCGCGGGTGGCTTTTGTAGACTCAAAGACCACATAGGAGGCAAGTTAGGCACCACAGCGGCCCCATCCCCAAAGGGACGCTTTTAGCAGCGTCTCCGCTTTCTTTACGCGCGCGCACACCTCCCCACACGGAGCCCCGCCACCACCTCCCGCTGGACTACATTTCCCAGCATTCCCACAGACTCTCGCCCTCCTTCCGGACCCTTCTCAGACCCGGTACTACAGTTCCCAGGGAGTGTGGTCCTTGCGAAATGCTGGGAGATGCAGTTCTCAGTTCTTCCTCCATGTTAAGAAAAAGAAGTGAAAGAGAGGAAAAAAGGAAGGAAATATGTCAACCCACCGAGAACAGGCCTACATTGGCTAGATCACTTGGAAGTCTGTACTTTCTTCGCAATACCCGTTGCCACTGTCTCGCACCAGAGCTAATGCAGCAGCCTCCTTCTGCTCTCCCTGCAAAACTGTAGACGATTTGGCAGCTTGAACCCAAATATAAAAAGAGCGTACTTCTTGACCCAGCTCCGCTACTTTTAAGAATTTACCTTAGAAAGATAATCAAACAATTTGGAAAAGATGAATGGACAAGGTTGTTATCTGAGATTGTTGATTACAGTGAAGTAAACGTAAATGTCCTTCAACAGGAGCTGGTTAAATTATATATACAAACAATGCATTACTAAGCAGCTGTTTAGAATAATGATATGGATCTTTTTCTTGACATCAAAAGCTATTCACAATTTATTATCGAGAGAAAAAAATTGTTAAGAGAATAGCAAGTTTAGAATGATCTATTATATGAAGCTTGAGACAATGTTCTATAAGCATAGAAAGATTTCAGGAAAGAGGTTCCCCAAAATAACATCTGTGATTATCTTGGAGTAAAGAGTGTCAGATTTCAAGTAATTTTCATTTTCATATTGCCTGAATTGTTTAAAAAGAGCACATAACTTTTTAAGCTATAAAACTATTTTCAAAAAATATAATTTTCAAATCCAACAACAGCCTGTCTTTGCTACCTAAAAGCTTTTCATGGCTTTCTATTGCCCTCAGTGGTGCTCCAAAACGAGGTCTGTCTGGATTTTCTGGGAGCTCAACATTTCCACTAATTAAAACAAATAATGGTGGGGACTTCCCGGGTGGTCCAGTGGCCAAGACTCCAAGCTCCCAATGCAGGGGGCCTGGGTTCAATCCCTGGTCAGGGAACTAGAGCCCGCATGCCGAAACTAAAAGATCCTGCATGCTGCAACTAAAAGTCCTGCGCTCAGCAACAAAGATCCCACGTGCCACAGCTAAGACCCAGTGCAGCCAAATATTTTAAAAATAAATAAGTAGGGCTTCCCTGGTGGCGCAGTGGTTGCGAGTCCGCCTGCCGATGCAGGGGACACGAGTTCGTGCCCCGGTCCGGGAAGATCCCACATGCCGTGGAGCAGCTGGGCCCGTGAGCCATGGCCGCTGAGCCTGCGCGTCCGGAGCCTGTGCTCCGCAGCGGGAGGGGCTGCGACGGTGAGAGGCCCGCGTACCGCAAATAAATAAATAAATAAATAAATAAAAATAAGTAAAACAAATAATGGTGGCCACTTACAATTCACAAAAGAACATTAAGTTAGTAGGGAGGATTTTCTCAATTTTCATTGTCTCTTCTCAAATTTTTCCTTCTTCTGGTCTTTCCACACCCATTTCCTCCTTTTCTCCTACTCATTCTTGAAACTCAAGCCAAAGTCCTACCTTCCCTAGAACATATATTTTAGGCATACTGATTTTCCTTGTGTCTGAATTCTTCTAGCGATGGTTTCTAATCTGTGAGCCAGAGATCACTGTGGCAAAGAGGAATGAAGAGGGAGAAATAAAATTATTGTAAAGGGTCTACAAAGCAATATTTAAACAAAGCATTGTCTATAGACTGAAGAAATAAGTCTTACACTTAAAAATTGTTTCCTTCTGGGACTTCCCTGGAGGTCCAGTGGTTAAGATGCCGCACTTCCACTGCACAAGGCACGGGTTCCATCCCTCGTGGGGGAACTAAAATCCCACATGGCATGTGAAAAAAAATTTGTTTCCTTCTGTGTCCAGCTCTTCTAGAATATGGAATATAGTATCAGATGATCTGTGACTTAACATAAATCCAGTATTCAATTACAGTATTTTAGATTTTGTGTAATTATTCCTCACCGTTCTGCAAGAAAACACCAGAACATTCGAGCTCCACTAGCCAGCCCGCTGGAGAAGCACAGGCCTATCAGAGAAAGCCCAGGTTACCTGAATCAAAGGTTAATTTAGTCCATAGTCCTGCTGCAATCTCTTCAGCAGCCTCACCCCACCTAAATCTAATTACACTCCTATGCCTTATGACTCATTTTCCCCAAATACGTCAGGCACTGTCTTTTTCAAACTACCTCATTTTTCATCCTATTCTCCCAGCCTTAAAATTCCAGGTCCCCTCCCCCACCAAAATTCCTATATCCTCTGCTCCCTTCTCTGAGAATAATAAGAAATGTGCCTATGAAATGTGGGCTAAGTCCCTTCCCCTCTCTGAGTGTGGCACTGACCATCCCATCTTCTAAACCCACTTCATTCCTTCTCCTCTTCTCCACTTCTCCAACTGGCAGACAGTGGGAGATGGGCAATCAAAATTAAAAGGGACGGATCTGTCCAGCGAGGAAAGCATATCTGAGCTACGGGAATAGGTATGAGGAAGCTTACCAGACTAGGAATCTGGTAATCAGATCCTAAATTAGACCTTGCCATGAGCATGCTGGGTGACCTTTAGTAAGTCCCTTATTTTTTTTTTTTTTTCTGAACCTCATGTTTACGTCTGTAAAATGAAAGGATGATTCCTGGCGTGTCACCTCATAACGTTATTAGGAGAGTCCAATAAAACAGTGGGTATGAAAGTGCTTTGAAGACTGTAAATTGCCACTTACAATCCAGCCCTTCATCTAATTTGAGAACTCTCTCTCCAAATCCCTGCATCTAATCCTTGGCATGTAAACTTTTTACTCAGAATTATATTATTATTAATGAATTTATTAAAGTATTTAAGGAATTTGCTCTATTAAGCCAATTTAATTTCTTGATAAATTTTCTATATAGCACACTTAAACAATTTCTGACTTTCCTAGACTTTTTTCTAAATTGAAATTTCATAAGATATATCCTTTTCTCTATCAGTTTTATAAGATTTGATTCATCTGTTATCTTTTATCTTTATCGATTTTTACTGATTATTGCTTCAGCTGTCATGAAATTTCTAGTCATTATTTCCACAAAGTCCACCTTTTCTTGGAAGCAATTTGAGCCATTGGCAGTTTTATTTTGTGTTGATTATTTCTACCAAGTGGAATTTTCCCAGGGGTCAACTTTGCAATGTTCAATGTTACCAACAAAGATGGGATCATTCAGTTTGCTTTTCCATCCATAAGAAATTTTTACCACGTGTAGTTTTAGCCATTGTCAGTTTTATTTTGTGTTATTTCTACCCGTCCAATTTTTTTCTGCAACCCAACAAAAACAAACTCAGGGACAAAATGACAGTGTCAAAACATTATCCTTTGCCTGTTACTATCTGATTGACTCAGACTGTGAAATGGTTTTTCCCAGCTATGTTAATGAGCCGGCTTTGAGCTCTCTCTCTCAAAGCACCTCTTTAGGAAGGAGCCTTGGCACACAAGCGTGGGCTGGAGTATTACTTTAAGAATGCCTCAGAATTGCAGGAAAATGGATGTTAGAGACCATGTTAGGAGAACCAATCTTTAATGAGCCAGGGGCTGTGCTGGGGTCTAAGATCCATTATCTCATTTAATCCTACGGCCTAAATTTCCTTCACATGGCCATTTTATAGTAGAGGAAATTAAGACCCAGAGAAGGAGATATTGGCCGTGTTAGGAACAGAAACCAGGCCCTGGTTTAATTCTCAGTGCAATTTGAATGATTATAATTTCCAAAATTATCTGATTTAATTTTAAAACTTTTGCACTTCATCCTGTTGTTTGTTTTCTGGCTGAGCCACATGGCATTTGGGATCTTAGTTCCCCAACTAGGGATCAAATCTGTGCCCCTTGCATTGGGAGTGCAGTCTTAACCCCTGGACCGCCTGGGAAGTCCCTGCACTTCGTCTTGTTGGAAAATTAAAATTTTTGAGTTTGACTAAGATACAAAGCAAGAGGAATATGTGGATATAAACAAAGCATTCTCAAAGAGTTTTTGTGACAGCAAATGAGACCAGGAGTGTGAAAATGTTTTGTAAATGACCCAACATTGGGCAAATGGATGTTTCTGCCATTTGTGATGAAGGCTGATATATAAACCTGTTATGCCAGCTTGGAAGAGTGCTAGAAAACTAATAGCACACTCCTGACATTCAGCAGATGAATGTCAAATGCCCATCCTAATATTTAATTCTAATAGCCAATAGTAAAGGAATAACATTGCATTCTGCCTATCCTTTAAGACCTAATTCAGACATCAGGAAGCCTCTTCTAACCCCCCAGTTAGGTTAGGAGCCCACTCAGCTCCCACAGCCAGCTCACACTGGATGTTCATTGTCAATTTACTGCCCTCAAGGACAAGGACCAAGGTGGTCCCATTCGTCTCTGTGGCATAGAGCTCAGTTCAGCCTGAAGCTTCTCACAGGGTAAGGCTTCTGTAAATGGTGGTTGAATTAATGAATGAATCAATCAATTAACATGACGTATATAGACGCTATAGATAACCAATTAAAATGACAAGGGAAATATCTTGATAAAGCTGAAAAAAATTAC